AGATTTTGAAATTTAAGCAACTCAAGAAATAAAAACATGTTTTTCTGATCGTGCAGGACATCGAAGGGTCTGATTATACAAAGGTCAGTTACTCGATGATACATTCGAGCTGATCTACATCTGCATTTACTCTCTGTATCCCTAGGCCTTTCCAGAGAAGGCTTAGTTTGACGGTAGAAAGGAGCATGGCGCTATGAAGCTAAATGAGGAAAGAAAGATCTCAGATGTGAAGGGCCTATAGAATGCCTTGGCTTGCTCTTTCTTTTCTTTTACTTCTTACTGTTTTTTACATGTTTGTTTTGTTTTGCACACATACACTTACTTAACTGGAACTACGGGATTTAGTATTATAATTCCAATTGTATCAGATTTCAAGTGTGTCTCTGTCTCAGTTACTAAAATCAGACTTCCTGGGCAAGGAGAAAGCCTCCACTGTGCTCCCAGCAAATGATTGGGACATAATGAACATCTGGAATGTATACTCAGCTTCTTTACATGATTACTGATAGACCCAATCCTGTCGTGTTCTTCCAGGACTATAAAAAAGTGTTAACACAGTTACATCACACACTTCAGCTGGTTTGTATAAGGCATGATTTTTCCACATGATATTTATTTAAGAAAGTAAATAATAGTCCCAACTCAAAGTGATGCTGCAGCTCAGGGCACCCATGTTAGCCCAGCCCTGGAATTTCCTGCCCATTTTCTGGACTTAACCAAATTGCTTGACACTGAGCTATGTAACTTATTCTCCAGGAAGCATAGTTTAGTAGCTCCAAGAGAATGAAGTTTTCTCTAGTTTGGGGTGACCCCGCTTTAGTGTGGGTAGTTGGACTGCCCCAAGGATGAGTTGCATCTTTCAGTCATGTGTTACAGAAATGGTTTCCCTTCACAAAGAAAATCCCTCTTTTGTAGGATAACACAGCCCTGGAGTTGGCATGCTCAGGACATAGTTGCCACTGAAATTTGTCAAAGGGGCTCAGTTGAAGATCCTGCAGAATTGTTATCTATAAACTATAAAAATGCAGATTTATCACCACTGGTGCTAAATGCTGATGACTGCTATTGTCTAGTTGTTCTTGACTGTACTTAGTATCTGTTCTTGGTTCTTCTCTCCCACTGAAAGGATTCCTTTCATTCCCTGAGGGGTTCTGAGGTTTATGTTTTGTCTGTTTTGTGTTTGGGTCCTGAGAGTTGGTTGGGTTTGGATCACAAGAGTCCTTTGCCCCACTGAATCTGTTCATAGGGGTAACACCTGGCAAATTGTCTGTAGTTCGAAGACATTTGCTTTATCTGCAAAATCCACAAAAGTCAGTGGGTCAGAAAAAGTCCAGATATTGGAAGACTTGACCTAGATGGCCCCTTGGGAAAAACAGATGTCCTCACTTAGCAGCCTCAGCCTCTCTCCAAACTTTGCAAATGCTACAATTGCCTCTGGATGTCTCTTGCTCTCCAAAGCAGTGGAGTGAATTTAACAACCTTGGCACCTTGCAGAGAAGCTAGCCAGTCCAGGATGTGGGATTGCTACCTTGATGGGAACCCAAGCTGGGAAGGAGCTTGCCAGTTGGATTGGCAGTGCTCAAACCCCAGCAAGATCCAAATCTGAAGTCACCATTTTCCCTGTGAAGAAACAGGGATGTAAAGCCAGAGAGCAGTTGATTAAAAGGAACAAGTTCAGCTAGTGTTAGCCTGGGAAAGAAGGTGGGGGCAGGAAAAAAATGCAAAGAATAACTGGGAGCCAAAGGCCAAAATACTAGGCAGTGAGCATACAATCTGGTCAAACCATCCATCCTACCTTAAACTGCAGGAAAGTCAGTAAGACTTCAGGAACTGTCCCTACTCCGTCATAAACTCCACTTGGGAATTGCCAGACAGGAAAACAATAGCTTTCTGAGAACGCCCAAGCTGCACCACACCAATTCTAAGGCAGGTTGAGAGGGATTTGCTATGTTCTCTCTTTCACAGCAACCTGTAGATGCTTCCGTAACCTTGGGAAGTACAGACACCTAAGACTTAGTTTGCCTTAGTGTCTAGGAATCTAAGAAGTAAAACATAAATTGTCATTAAATGGGAAATGCTATGGCCCTTATGTCTCATCAGAACAAAGTTTATCTAAATCAGAGTGGGATTACTCAGTTGATAGATGCTTGGCAGTGTGAGTTGCTTTACTACAGTTGAGCACATCAAACACTCCAGTAAGAATATAACCCAGAAAATCTATCCTCTGTTCTTACTGTAATTGGAAGAGTAGAAGTGTAAGTGTCTTCCAGTATGAGGCAGGCTTTGCCTGAGCTTCTGGTTTGGATTCTTGTACCTCTTATTTCTGGAGAGTAATTACTCCTTCTGCAGCTTTTGTTGCCTGTTTTGTTTTATTAGAAGAAACATATTATAGTGAAAAATCTGAAGTGATTTGATTTCCTCTCTTATTCTGAGGCAGTAGCTAAGGCTAGAAGTGGTGGGAATGAGGACTAATAAACATAATCTCTCATTGTTAGTTTCCCCTAAAATGCTCTAAACATGGCTGTAACCAGACTCCATCCTAAGTGCTCATCTCTGAACTTTCACTGGATGTTTTGGAAATGGCTATTAAATTATTCTAAACTCATGTTTAGAATTAATTATCCCTTTATTGAGTACCAGTGAAAGTACAGAATTGTACTGTGGGGAATGTAGGAGTTATACAACAAAATATTGAAAGAGATCACCCATCTACCAAAGATGTGTAAACCATGTAGTGGTGTGTATTAGAACAATCTGAATTTGAATCCTGGCTCTGTAATTTACTAGCCATAGGACATTAGGCAGATCACTTAACTTCTCCTGACTCAATTTTCTCTTCATTCATCCAATAAATATTTTTGAGAATCTTGTATATTCCAAAAACAGCACCAGGCACTTAGAAACAAAAAATGAAAGTAAAATATCTATTTCCTTGAGGTATGTGAGAATTAAGTGAGATAATTAAAATAATATGAAATAAAGAATCAAATATAATGTATACTCAATAATGCTAATGGTTTATTATCATTATTACTTAACAAATATTTAGTAAGAACCTACTGAAAACCAAGCACTATGCTGGGGTGAGGGATATGCAGGTGAACAATAATGGGCTATAAAGAAGCCATAATGGACATTAGCAAGAGAGCAGACTGCTGAGGAAGGGGGTGTTTTGAATGGTAGGAGAGGACTTAGGTATGACCAAGGGCCTCTGAGAAAGTATAAAACACATGAACACGGCATTTGAGGAAGATGGTTCCAGCAACCAGAACTGGCCAGACTGCCATGAGGGAAGACTGGTTAGATGCCCATCCAATAATCCAGGAATTAATTAATCCAGTCTAGAATAACACTGAGCAAATTGAGAGGAAGAGGCTGAATTTCAAAGACATGATAAAGAAAGGAGGAAGAATGAGGGTGAGATTTGATGAGTGCATGCATGTAGATGTCACATAAGTAAGCCAAGACCAAGGCAATGAGCATAGAGGCTCAAGCTTTGAAGAATAAAGCAGTAAACTAAGTCACTAAATACACATCCACACAAACATATACGTATATACTATATTTTCAGTCAATACTAAGGACAAATAGCACTATTCAATGTTTTTAACAGCTGTTAACTGTGGAAGTAATACCTGTGAAATGTAAATAATAATGATAATAACTAGAAAATACATTAAAGTATTAAGAAGAAAGTTAAAATTGTAAATCTAACTAGACTTCAATTAAAAAAAAAAGTTAAAATCATTTGTCATCCTGCCACCCAAAAGGTCATGGCAGCATATTAGGCCAGGCATAGAGTCAGTCTTTGGGGGCAGAAGCATGTAGAAAAACCTCACTCTCCATTTTGCCAAAGGATAGAACATCACCCTTCCCCAAACATCACCTTAGGCCTGAAACTTCTTTCCATTGATCAAAACTGCAATTTTTTAAAGTAAGGGAATGAACACACTTGCTATTATGTAGAGAAATTAAGCATAGATATTTACATGTGTGATCATGTGCTTGTGTGAGTGTGCGTGTATGTGTTCGTGTGTATGTGTGCATGGGTCATATGCACAGTTGTTCTCCTCAGTGGTAGGAAAAACAAAACGCTGTTCATTTTCTTGTCATCAATGAGCAAAATCTTCATAAAGTATTAGTGACATGGCCAAGGCAAGGGTCCTGTGACTTCCTTTTGGCAGCAATCAGGGAACAGTAAGTGCAGGAGCAAAAGCTGAATGTATGAGAGGAAAATGTAATCCATTAACTTGAGTTTTCTTTTCTACAACTGGGGAAAGACTATCATTATTGTTCACTTGTCATGAGGGAGGATCAGCAAGCATACCTTTTAAGAACCACTGGTGTAATGGTTAGTTATATGTGTCAAGTTGGCTAGGCCACAGTATCCACATATGCAGTCAAACATTCTAGATGTTTCTGTGAAGGTATTTTTCAGATGAGATTAACATTTAAATCTGTAGACTTTGAGTAAGCAGATTACCCTCCATAAAGAGGGTGGGCCTCATCCAATTAGTTGAGGGACTTAATAGAAAAAGATTGATATTCCTGGAAGAAGAAAGAATTCTACTAGCAGGCTGCCTTTGGACCCAAACTGCAGTTCTTCCCTGAGTCTCCAGCCTGCTGGCCTACCTTGCAGATTTTGGACTTGCTAAACCTCCGCAATCATATGAGCCAATTCCTTAAAATATATTGATTGAGAAAGAAAGAGAGAGCGAGGAGATAGATAGACAGACAGACAGATCCTGTTTGTTCCATTTCTCTGGAGAACCCTGACTGATACAACTGGGTTTAAAGATCTATTCTGAGCTCTGGAAGAAGCTGAGGTCTTGACCAAGGTGTTGTGAAAAGGCGCAAAGTGTGTATTAGGTGTACCTGAATGTCTGCAAGGTACCAAGGGCACACCTGCACTCCACGCTCAAGGGGCTGTACTGGGCAGAGGATGAGGTACTGTCTCCAAGGATATATGCTTCTCAGATGGATCATTACCAAGGTCTTACCTAGATTCTTTGTCTTCTCCTCAGTTGATTCCTCAAACATCTGTTTAATGCAGGGAACCCTCACAGGAAGCAGTCTGAAATGTTTCTTAGTAGCCACCTTCAAGTAAAGAATCAAGGCTGAAAGCTGTATGTTCTGCTCTCAAAGAACACAATAAAGCCTCCCTTAATTGACCTACATGAAGAGTGGGATGCTCTGATAAACCAGTTTTTCCAGGAAGTTTAGGGCTAACCAGAAACAAGATCTTTTTGCCTCAACCCTTATTGTGGAAAATCTTTATCAAGTATAGTCATTTCACTTTTCCATTAAAATCTACTTACCAAGGTATAAGCACTACAACTAAATGTTTCAAAATGTAATCTCTGGCAAAACCATTGGGTGATCAGTCTCCACCTCAGTTCTTCTTATCCGGGACTGCTCAGATTGACCTAGGTTATAATGTAACCCAGGTCTGCTGTTGCATATTTACCTTGAGGCCCTGTGCCATTCCCAGAATTAATCACACATTCAGTTACAGACAAATCTTTGTTTACCAGAGAATCATGAGGGAATTGAGACTGTTTTTCAGTCTTGCAGCTCTGTGAAGGCTGCTGATGGTGCAAGGAGGACTAAGGGGCCCCCACGGTTGCGGCAGTATGAGAGCATGGCTGAAGCCTTAGCTCGCACTCACCCCAGCACTGGGAACACCTCCTCATTCCCATGTAACTTTGTCCATGCTGTTCCCTCTGCCTGGAAATAGCCTTCACTGTTTTTTTTTTTTCCAGCTTGTATGTGAACTCATGCCTCAATACTTAAATGCTGTGCAATGTACCAAGCCTTTTTCAGTATCTCCAAGCTCTATGAAAGACTAGAATGAAAAAGAGGGCGAGATTAGAGGGTATCTAAGTTCTCAAGTAACATAATTAATGCATTTACATGGTGGCAATTTTTTGTATGCCCTGCTTCTTTCATTGTGGCTATGCTGGGTTTATTTTTTTATTTATTTATTTTTTTTACTAACACATAGCATGTTATACTGCAATGATGCCCAAACATCAGACATTCCGATACCAATTACATACTGTTTTTTGTCGTAACTGTCTGCCATATGTAACATAATTTACTTACTTTAAAATGTCTTTTCTTAAATTGATTTTTTTAAGACTTAGATACATATATTTTAAAAACTAAGCTTTAAAATATCTATTTCAAAAATAGCTTCACTTGTCCTAAATGGAAAGTATTCTTAAAAATAAATACCATAAAAACAGTATTATTAAATTCCAGGTAAAACCACTTCATATAAAGACTTTGGGCTTAAGATTCATTTTTGGTTTGGTTTTTTGTTTTGTTGTTGTTGTTATTGCTGTTGTTGATTTTTGGGGTTAGAAAGGGAGATTAGCAAGTATTAAAGAGGCACTGAAGACAGACTTGTACTAAACTGAGACTTTCCACGCTTACATGATTCTATAACCATGATGTCTTTGACCATCAGTGTTAAAGCCTACATTTTGAACACTGATGTAGAGAGAGTGCAGAACAGACAAGGGGACTGGATTTGAGCTCCACTTGCAAGCACCTAAATTCGTTACATTAAAACAAGTCACTTTTCTATCCACCACACCCCTTACCCCTCCTTTCTTATTTATAAAATGAAGACGTTGGTCATTTCAGTTTCAGAGAGTGTATTATCTATTTATCATAATTTATTTTCCAGAGTTTCATTCAATCAATAAAATGTTGAGAGCCTACACCAGGAGTGAGCATTGGGAATAGAGCCATGGAGAAGTCATCATGCTCTCATAAAGTTTGTCTTTCTCCACGTAGCACTCATCCCCTTTTTAAAACTAGAGTGAATTAAATACCTTTTGTTTCAAGAGGATTACTAAAACTAAAGATAAGTGCAGGTTAAAGTGTATTTGAATCCAGAGCTTTTCGCACGCCCCACGCCTCTCAAACGCCACACATCAACGGTTAAGATTGCGGTGGCAGTTTCCCCGAAGTCCACTAGAGGGCGCGCGCATTTCTCGATTCCAAAAGAAAGTTCTCTTCGGGTACTTGCCCCTGAAATTTGGAATTGGTGTCGCCTTTCCTCACTTTCTATTCATCTTGGGGCAATTGTGGTGAGCCCTCAGGTTCTCTCACTCCACCAAGCCATTCTCGCCCCACGCAGTGACTCTTCGTCAGCCATTACGAAGAATTCTTTTTCTCCCAAAACCACAAAAGTTTTGCTTCTGACTGTTCTCAGCATTTGCCCTTTTGACATTTTAGAAGAAATAAGATCCAAGTTTGATGTTGAAAAGAAAGCACTGATTTCTTTAGTGGGAAGATTTCTTCTCCCTATTACTGTTTTCCCTAGCTGTGGGGGAAAATGCTCCTCTAAGGATTTAAAGCAGTTCCTTTGAGCTAAAGATCTTTCTGTGGGATAACAGAGCTGCTTCTGAGCAGATCTTTTGGAGCTGACATTGGTCTCCTTGTTCAGCAGCATGTTATATTTTTGAGGCTCAGCCTTTTCCTCTGAGTTTTACATTCTTAATCGACAAGATCTTGATCTCAAACATTGGAGAATACGCTCCCAGACCAACCGTCCCCACAAACCACAATCCAAGAAACATGTCCAGTAGTTTACCCCAAGGTTTGTACCTGATGGGTGGCCCCAAAACCTTCAACCTCACCCTTTATTTGGTAACAAAGTCCTCTTACCTCTAAATAACTATCCTGAGCTTTTCTTGAGAGTCAGCAAAGACATTAATGAAATAACTTGTAAGCATGCCCCATTGTATGCAGATATGAAATTACCTTTTGAATGGGCAACTCTGCATTTGACATGGGGAAGCTGGGAACCTGGGAACCTGGCTCAAGCAAAAAGAGTGGGGGAGGGGGACAGGGCTTTGGCCCCTGCTTTTGTGAATCTCAGTCAGCCTGCTCTTAAAGGAGACGAAAAACTTTTTTTTTAGAGAAAGGTGTCAGAAGTCTTCTGAGACTACAGCTTCATGCAAATACACTACTCAAGAAGCAGACTTTAGGGGAGAGTTATTTATATCCCACAGGCATTACACATGCAGAAGGTGAAACTGTGAATCTCTGCATTTCCAGGAGTGGATGTTCTCATGATGAGCACATCCTTGCTATTTTGGTGGTGTACAGTTCCCATACCTAACTGTCAGATTGTTCCAGGCAGGAGACCACGTAATCATTCAGTAATTTTAGAATGACCCTGTGTGTTTCTCTCCAGTGGGGCTTCTTGACCTGAGCCTTTCCTGGGGATTAGATTTACTACCATCTTGGACCCTCTAGTAATAGGTGCATTCATCTTTTTCTCCTAAACAGGTGCAGGATTTGGTCATTAAAAAGTCATCATGTGGCACATTTACTGCCCTTTGGCTTTCATGTTGACTCCTGGAATTAGCAAAGAAAATGGCCATTTCCCTAGGAATTATTGCCCTGCTCTGTTGCTGGCTCACCCTACCCAGAAATATAGACCATTCTCCACATTGAAGTATACAATAATCACTTCAGGAAATTGCTTTCCCTATTGGAAACCGAGAGCTCACATCGGAATGTTTCCACAGCACAGCTGATGATAATTACGACTCACTGAAATTTCAGTTTTCTTTGATTGTGACATAAAAACTGGGACATAAATTAAAACCCAATTATCCTTTAAGGGTAATTGGGGTTATAAAACCAAGAGACTGTGAGTCCGTGTGTCGCTGTCGCAGGAGCACAGTGTCTGATGGAATGGTATGTGTTCTATCTCCCAAAGCAGCCTTTCACTTGAAGTGGTTGGGGATCAGGAGCTCCTAATCCCCAGGTGCTCACTACTTGCCACAACAGTACATCAGACTGGGGCACGGCCTTGGAGAAGTGCAGTAAGCTTCTAGCACGTCTTGGAATGATTAAAAATGTGAAAACTGCAATGGGAAAGTTGTGGCCTCCCCCTGTGTAGGTGCTGGGTGGTGGAGCAGGGCACTGAGAGCCAAGACTCAGCTGGTACCTGACTGTGCATGTGGAAATGACAGATCTTTCCACCTGAGAGATAGGGGAAGTTCTTTGGTTCAGTACAATCTATATCATCAATGCCCATGAAGGGAAATTGGACTTTTTTTTTTTCCACAAAGGGCATGATCTGCAAAAGGTGTAGGAAAAAACAGATTTTTGGTAAATCAAGTCATAAGCTAAGTGTATGAAGCGGAGCTCATTAAAGGAAGTCTTGGATTATTCTTGAAGTACAGGAATTGCCCACTCACCTGCAGATGCCTTCCAGGCCACCTCTTGATGATGCATATTGGTAACATCTTCAGGTAAAAATTACATCCCCTGAAGCTTCCCAACCTTGTACCCCAAAGCCTCTCATGACACAGCCCTCCTCCCCGAATCTGAATTCTCAAAAGGGGTTCACTTCCTTGTCTTTCCAGAGAATTTGTTATTCCCTGCCAGTGTGCACTTTTCATAGTTTTCAAAGAGCACATACCCACCACCTGAGAGTGGCGCTTTCCTCTTTGTCTCTGCCACTTAGCTGAAAGTCCCTGTGGGGCCTTGACCATGATGTGTGTAATTGGGCACTTAGTAGGTACTCATTAAATGATGCTAAACATAGTGCACCATTGAAATGGCATAACTCCAGGTGTCTTAATTGTCTTTCTGGAAGGTAAACATTGCCACAAGTTATTAACCACAGAAAAGACTTGAGCAAACTCAACCCCCTTTCAAAACCAGTCAGGTTTTCCTTCGAGGGCACTCACCTCTGCAAACGACTTTCTGGCTGTAGGACAGTGCAAAGACCCGGGCTAGGCTTTCCAGGAGACCTGTGTTTTCGGTTGATGCGTCAGTATCACCAGGTCCCCTGAGAATCATGACAGAGAACATGCAAGGTCCAGGTTATTGCCACCATCCCTGGGAAACTGTGACTGGATAGACATCTAGGTAAAGTGGTATGTCTGACCTGGGCTTTTGCAACCTTCTTTCATAATCCGCTTTCTTATCTCCTGCTTCGCAAAACCAAAGAGAAATTTGTACAAACTGTATTGACAAAAGATTAGAACTTGATTTTCAATGGCAAAGGCAAGTATACATTATAAATAGCAAAACAGCTGGCTTGGACTATGTTGCCGGCCACTCATCCAGTTGAGAGATTTGAATGACATCATAACCCTTGAGAGGGTATTGCTAGCCAGCTGGTGTTATTTAGAATACACAAAAATTGGAGAAAGAAGGCACACTCACATACACACATGCACACACACACGGGTTCAAGTTATGCAGAAAATATGAACAACGGGAAAATCATTTGCCCCTCAGGTGCCCTTCCCCTGAGGGGTGATAGGCAGCTGAGTATAGGAAGGGAAAAAAAAGATTCGATTTTATTTTTTCAGTTGGCTTTACAGCTCAGCAAAATCTTTGCCCTGTCTTGGGCAAAAAGCAGGAGACAGTGTCCTAAAGGGAGCCGACTGCAAAGCTGCCTGCCCCCTTCCAGGTTCAAGGAAATGAGATCATTCCCCTCAGTTGGCAACTGCGGTGAGGGGTCACCCCAGCGCTGTCTTCCAATCTAGTTCAGCCCAGTCATTTGAGGGTTAAAATTGTAGGGTGTGCTTGGCATGGTCTTTTCTTCATTTCTTTTTTTTCTTTTAATTTTGCTTTTGCTCTAGAATGTAAAATTGCTCACCCATCCTCCACGTATATTCCTCTCATACCGGTAAGGTGTATTAGCAGATGTGTCTTCTTGCCCAGTAGAAAGTTAATCAGAGAGCAGCCCCAGTATTTTAATGTCTGCTCACCCTGTCACTAACACACATTCTTTTAAGGGAAAAAAATGCTTCTGTGCTCTAGTTTTAAAATGCAAAGGTATGATGTTATTTGTCACCATGCCCAAAAAAGTCCTTACTCGATAACTTTGCCAGAAGAGGGAGAGAGAGAGAAGGCAAGCGTTCCCCCAGCTGTTTCCTGTCTACAGTGTCTGTGTTTTGTAGATAAATGTGAGGATTTTCTCTAAATCCCTCTTCTGTTTGCTAAATCTCACTGTCACTGCTAAATTCAGAGCAGATAGAGCCTGCGCAATGGAATAAAGTCCTCAAAATTGAAATGTGACATTGCTCTCAACATCTCCCATCTCTCTGGATTTCTTTTTGCCTCATTATTCCTGCTAACCAATTCATTTCCAGACTTTGCACTTCAGAAGCAATGGGAAAAATCAGCAGTCTTCCAACCCAATTATTTAAGTGCTGCTTTTGTGATTTCTTGAAGGTAAATATTTCTTACTCTTTGAAGTCATTGGGGAATTTTCTTTAAATTGTGTACTGTTTGCTTCTGCCTAGAAATGTTCTTCACTTTAGAATTTTCATTGTTTCGGCACTGAGAGTTATTTATAAATTGCTGAATATGCAATTCTGTGGGATCTGAAAAAATAGCTCCGGGAGATAAGTGCCTTTGCACAGATATCTGTATGAGTAGAAACTATTGCAAGGTACTTATGCTAAATCCTCCACTTCTGCAGGGCTTCAGTGGTGTCATTATAGAAGATTCCTTTAAATCCTGTCTATGGTTAAGGGCTATAGAGCATGGATATGAACTTTTGGATTTTTTTTGCAGGTGCAGATGTTTTATTTTTAAGACCATGTTCGTGTGTGTGTAGGAGTGTGTGTGTGTGTGTGTGTGTGTGTGTGTAACTTGTCAGGGCTTTTATTACAAGGCATGCCACATACAAAGAGTTACATTTTAAATGATTTTAAAGCTTTTAAATAGGATCTTTGGAGCTAAGGTCCCGGAACTCTCTACATTTATGCCCAGAGAGTCAAAGTTAGAGTGAAGTTTAATTTGCTCTTCTGAAAAAAAACTCCTTAAGAACTCTTACTGACCTTGCATATTCATATAATTTAAACAAATGCATACTGTATATGGAAAGCGGAAACTTTCTAGCAACTGCTATTCCAAGTTTTTTCTTTTGAGGAGGACTCTCATGGGTGAAGTTTGGACTTGGGGTTTCGTGCTGTAAAACTCTGATTTTATACTCGATGTTGTAAAGTCTCTTTAGGTAAATTTGGCTGGCGTTGTCAATGCACTGACTTCTCGTTTCCAATCACTGGCCCTAGTTCAAGTTTCCATTCTCAGCAAAATTATATCCTTCAAGACTTGTGTTTTTCCAATTTGCAAGCACTTTTAAGCCGCTGTCACTGGCTCCCTGATGCAATTGCCTGAGGGCTCAATTCATAAACCGTCCCTACCACTAAGTACGCGGTACTCATTTGCTGCTTTCAAATACTCCACCACTGGGACTTTTCTTAGTCAAGTAAGTGGCTTAGGAGTTAAGGATACATCCTTGTCAGGCACCTGATTCTGCTGCCCTTGAGATGCTGGAATGCACACAGGCTACCTTGCTTTTAAAAGGAATGAAGTCAATAGACGTATGTGCTATGTGGTCTGACAGCTGAGGGTTTTGTCTCCCTGCTTAGATGATCCTAAAAGAGGCTATGGAGTGTTATCTCTGCATTAATTACACGTTTGGAAAACTCCAAATGTGTATGCTGAACTTTTCTGAAGTAGAGCTAGCCATTAAGTTGTTGCTTTTTCCTGTACTTGGAGCAGGAAGTGGTTTGAGGGAGCTACGTGGTCTTTCAGTGTAATTCAATGAATAAAGGTGTCTGCCAGGCAGAACTCGCAAGCTGATTGTACTCTCAGTCTCAAGATGTTTCCAAGTGTTTGAGTCAGAGGGAAGAGGGCAAGGGAGAGGACTGGAGCTTGGGTCACTGTTCAGGGAGGCTACAACAGGCACACAATGGAAATTGGTGGCTTGATTGGGAGGAAAAGATTGACTCAAATCCCAGCTGTGCAATTTGCTCATTGTCTGAATGGACAAAAGGCAGTTTACCCAGGCTCATAGCATACCTGCCCGGGTGTCCAAATGTAACTAGATGCTTTCACAAACCCCACCCACAAAGCAGCACATGTTTTTAAGTCCTCAGTTTTCTATTCACATCAGTCTCATAATACCTACCCTGACCTGCTGTAAAAGATCTGGAACAAACAAAAATGGTTACACCTACAGTGAGTATTTTCTTATGACTATTGCCCTCAAATTTTGCTGGGCATTTCTTATTGTAGCCCAGACATCTGGAATCAATTGATATTCCATTTATTTACGATAAAAAGAAAGGTCTTTTCAATTCTGGATTTGTGAATGATTTTTGAGAAAGCGTGCTCTGCTTTTTTTTTTTTCCTTTTTTTTCTTCTCTGTCTGGTCCTTCCTTCCTTTCTCTCTCTCAAATCTTTCCTTTCTCTCTCTTCGTTTCTTTTGTGTTTGGCAAAATAAAAAGGCCAAGGAATGATGAACATATGGGGACACTTTTTTTCAAACTTTTAACTCCTAAGCAAGTTCCTTATTGTTTTCTTTTGGGAGGGGGAACATAATGTGATAAATTCTCTGGTTCTCTGTGGGTGTACTGGACTGTTCCCTGAATGAAAGGAAAATGCACTAGAGGTTCTATCTTGTCCTAGAACTGTAAGTGCTGATATTTATCTGAGAACATAACTCAGCAAAAAAAAAAAAAAAAAAAAAAAAAGGAAAGGGAAAATCTGTAAAAAAAAAAAAACCTTAAATCTTAAATGCTAGAGATTTATATGTATTGCTGGATTTAAATCTGTTATACAAAAGAACTAACTATTAAAAATATAACCTTGACACCTAGTGATGTTCTTAATTCACTAAAGCTATAAATTGAATACCTTTTTCCATGAATTTCATGAGAACTGAAGAACTTGAAGCATCTACAGTTGCAGGTGCTTGGCCTTCAGCATCACTATAAACACAACAGAGAAGAGAGGGATGGAGAAATAGGACTGGCAGAATAACATTCATTCTAGAACTGGCCCATTGCCAGAGTGTGGGGTATGTTCTGTAAGATCAGTTATTAGTTCTTGCTTTTGAGAAGGGCAGTAAAGTCCAGTTGGGTTGGATTTGCTGAGGTTTCCACTGGAAATATTGAAAGGGAACACTCCCACCAATTATTTTATTATTAGGAAAAATGAGAATTGGATGATAACTTGTTTCTAGCAGTCCCAGTGGCTTTGGCTGCGTGGGGGTGGAGGGTTTCCACCAAGAGGTCCTATCAAGAAAATGGAAGAAATGTTCAATTGAGCTTTTGCCTCCTCTTCTATTTTATATTCATTATTTATGATGATTTGCAAATAGAGGATGCTTTTCATCTTCAACTGTTTTACAAGCATTAACTAAATATTTACATCGTGTTAACAAGAGTCTGGGGGTTAGGCGTTTTTTCCCAATTGCTGAGCCAAGAGTCTGGCCACAAAAATGGAAATCTTAATTAAAGTGATGGAGCAAATTTTGCCACTGATGTAGAAAGCCAATAAGTTAAGAGTTCATGGAGGGCAAGGAAGGTGGTCAGAAAATAAGTGACTGAGTCTGTTTCTCCAAAAGTGATGGGGCTGAATGGACCTGCCACTACTGGGAGGTTCAGAAAAGCCTCTTTTCATAATGATAGCTTCCAGCTTAACTCTGTGACCTTTTGATTGGGTCCCTCACTTAACATCCTGTCACTGACTCTGCCAATGCTGCTGAAAAGTAAATGCATCTGAGAGAGGTGAAGCTACTCACCTTAGGAGGCTTCCTGGAAGAAACCACATCCTTGTGCCACAAGTAGCAATATGGAAAAACTTAATGATCACCTCTGCATTGTTTCTACTGCTGAGAGTGAAGATGGAGACTTGAGCCACGGGAATCCTGCTTCTGGCAGTGCTGCCATTTGGCTGTCTATCATTGGCTAAGTCAGGCCAAGCAGGGGTCCCTGCTGTAAAATGGATACAGTGACATGTAAGTCCCTCCAAGAGATGAAATCAAAATTCCTGTGACTAATAATAATAATAATAA